TGCGATTGCTCAGCACACTCTTGTTCACCACCACGATCAGGAAGGAGCTGAGGCCGTAGAAGCCGGCTGCCAGCAGCTTGAGGAAGACGCTCACCGTTTCGGCCGCCATCCCCACAGCCTCATCCCTGTGTGCAGGGGACTCCGGGGGGGCTGCTCCTTTAACCCGAGCATGCTGACGTCTGCTCACTTCCGCCATGGCTCAGTACGGGCTGGAGGCGGGGACTGTGAGGAGGCGAGCCAATGGCTGCGGGGGAGGGTGAACGGAGAGGGGCGGATCTGTTAAGTCTAGGGGCGGATCTGTTAAGTCTAGGGGCGGAGTTATGGCTGCTATCAAAAGAAGTAGGTGTGACACAGTCAGAGGGACTGAGCGTAGTGGGAGGGGTTTATGGTGAATGGGCGTCTTTGTGGGTAAAACCACGCCCCTCATGGGCTCGGGCTCGGGCTCAGGCTCTGCATGTGGGTTTTACTGGCTGTGGGTGGTGTGAGCAGGAAGGGGCCATGGGGACTACAAGTCTCAGCATGTCCTGTCAGCCTCTGCTGAAGATCTTAATGATATATTTCCCGGGTTAGGGTTAGGGTCAGAATGTTATTTATGAATTAGTTAAATTTAACTTGTCCTGAGAGAGTTGCAGGGGTTGGCATTGCTGACCATGCTCTGAAAATGCTAGCTGCCTGGCTAATCTATAGCCAATACTTATATTTGTATAGAGTAGGGAAGCGTTAAAAACCCCTTCCAGTTATTTTTGTTGCTGTCTATATAACTTTGGGGAAATTTCCCTTCGCTTCCTATCCCAGAGACGCAACAGGAAGTTAGAAGAAATTACCCCAAGGCGGGGGAAACCACCTCTTGGACAGTTATCTCCCCGATCAGGTGTCCCCATTGGTAGATTTCACCTCTTGGAGGCAAAGCTAAAAGTTTGGATTTCCGTTACTTTTTGATTCGGTGACAATGATCGCCAGAACAAGTAGAGGGGTGAATCTGCCCAATGGGGACGCAGACAGCAATGAACAGTGACAGAGGGCCCAAGCCAGCCTTTCTCAAAGCTTTTTACCCTGGAGGAACCATTACATTCCCCTCCTTGCGACCCCTGGTGGTCATTTTAAGCAGTGATCAATCTGCACTCTGTGGTTCCACCAACTACAGCTCCTCGGGGACATAGTGCTGCATAGTCCCTGCGTGCCCAAGCACCCAAGGCAAACAAGCCAAAACGCACATCCCATTCCTCCATGAGCTTTATACTACTTCAGCATTATAGGTTGCAGGTTCTGTCCCATTTTGCGCCGCATCCCCGATAAATCACTGAAGGCGGCCGCCTCTTCTGCCTACCCCTTCGGCCCGGGCTCTGGACACAGTAGTAATGTGGCTGTCGGATAGGATCACGTAGCTCAGCAGGGGGTGCCTGCAACCTGGAAGCGTATCTGAGATTTCAGTGGAAAGTCAGTGGCGATAGCGGCGTGGGGCAGTTAAAGCACACCTTGCAGTAAAATGCACTAATTCTGTCAGGGCCCCCTCCCCCTTTAGAAATTCACCTAATGTTAGCGGTACTTATAATAGATTTTACTTACCTAACCCCGCCCGTGCACCCGCCATGCCTAGGTGAGGATGACGTCACACCTAGATCCCAGGGAATACAGAGCAGCCGAAATCTCGCAAGAAGACGCTCTTGCAATTGACCGAAGTGTCTTCCCATGAGATTCCTCCTGTTCAGCATACCCCAGGAATCTTCCCGGAAGGATGGTGACGTCACACCCAGCGATACGGAAGACGGTGAGGGGGGTAAGGCAGTGGCGTCACAAGGGGGCAGCGGCCCGCACCCGGGTCACACTATTGGATGGGGTGACACCAAAATGACTGGCAGTCATTTTGGTGTCACCCCCTCGAAAATGTCGGGCACTCGGTCATGGACCGAGAGCACGACAGTGTCAGGAGAGAGGAGGGGACCCAGCGGTTCGGTTCGGATATTTAGTTATTTTGGAATTCGGGATTCAGATCTGAAATTCGGCAGTGGCGTCACAAGGGGGGTGATGCCAGCACCCGGATGGCACCATTGGAGGGGTAGTCATTTTGGTGTCACCCCCTCTGAAAAGTCGGGCACTCGGTCATGAACAGAAAGCACAACAGTTGAACGAGAGAGGAGGGGACCCCACGGCATACCCTATCCCGCCAGGTGAACGTCCCCTCCCCTTTTTTGTCGGCGTCTATTACCTAGATGGCCGCCGGTGGGTAAGTGCGCGAGACTTCATTACACACGTGATAGATGACGTCATGCGTATGCATGATGATGTCCCAGTGGGTGTCATATGACGGCCACACCAGGGGACATCACGGCTGGGGACGCCTCTGGCTCAAGACAACAATAATGTGCTCAGGTTTGTTACCAGGAGTGTAATTATAAATCATGGGGCCCCAAAATTTTAAAGAGCCCCCGGCTAACTCTCGCATACCTCATCCTGTTGGGTGAACATCCCCTCCTCTCTCTGTCAAGATGGCCGCCGGCAGGCGTTCAATTAGATGGCCGCGCATGCGAGATGACGAATCGGTGGGGTTTCAACCGGCCTCCGCTCCGGATGACACCCGGCCTCGGGACGCCCCTGGGGTAAGATAAGTATAAGTTTAACTTTCTGTACAGGTACACTTTGGAACTTCTTACATTAGGTGACTTTTAGGCTCAGTGCAGACCTGAGCGACCCAGGACCTGCGTCCGAGGATCGGTGGGTCGTGCACAATTGCAGACAGCGATTGCCGCGCGGCCCCATTGACTTCAATGTGGTACATGCGCAATCACAGAAAAAGATTATGTACCTTTTTTTTGCGCTACACGACGCGCGGCTGTTTGGAAGCACGGGGGGAATCACAGCGGGAAGCTGCGCGATCCGCCTGGCACGACTGGGGAATCACGGCGGGAAGCTGCGCGATCCGCCTGGCACGACACAGCGCGATCGTCGGTGATGGGCGACTCCCTGACCGCGTGGCAATCTGAACAGTCACAGATCGCCCAAGCGTGCACTGGCCCTTAAGGCGGGGGGGGGGATCTGAGGAGAACTTTCCATCAGACCGTGTGCTGGACGGAATTGTACGTTGATGTGTAATCGTGTGACAATGAGCGGCCTACTTATCTTATTTCTGTTTGATCATCAAACAGAACCTGGACAGTCCGGGTTTTGAATGCTGTGTCCAGTTTCATGGCAGGAGAAAGTCAGACACAGGATGTCAGGCAGACAGGGGCAACCAAAATTAAGATAGAAGCTACTGGCCCCCCACTGAAAATAGTCTCAACTGTGACATTTACATATGAATAAGCCACGACCAGTGGCGTCACAAGAGGGGTGCGGGGGATGCAGCCCGCACCCGAGTGACCCCATTGGAGGGGTGACACCAAAATGACTGACTGACAGTCATTTTGGTGTCACCCCCTCTAAAAAGTCAGGCACTCGGTCGCGGACCGAGAGCCCGACAGTGTCAGGAGAGAGGAGGGGACCCGGCGGCATACCTCATCCCGCTGGGTGAACGTCCCCTCCTCTCTCACCAAGATGGCCACCGGCAGGCGTCAATGAGGTGATCGCGCATGCGCTATCACATCACGACGGGGTGTCACCCAGTCTCCGCTCCGGATGACACCCAGCTTCAGGACACCCCTGGCTATAAGTTATTCTCCCAAGAAAATGTCCACGCGTCACTAGGGTGATCGGGTTTCGCCTAATGCAACTGCTGTGAACCAACCCTTAGCATTGTTCCCAGCTATCTCTGCAGGACTACAGAACACCTTCCCCTATGTTAGGGCGATGAGAAGAGGGAGAGGTTTCTGTAACCCAATCCTGTTTCTCTTGATCTGATACAGTAAGGTGAGTGAGTATTGTCACAGAAAGCTATTGTATCAGCAAGTGAAAAAAATGCCTGAAAAAAGAAAACGAATGCAGCCGCCACATCTGAGGGCTGGGGTGCTGCAATAGATTACACATTGATTATTGGGTTCAGATACACTCATATCTATAGCAGCTCAGCAGTGTGTAGAGGTGAAGTGAATACAGACAGGGGTAGTTTTATTCATGGCGCTCGCAGTAATCAGGGATATTGCGCTGATAGGGAATCTGGGTCACTCCGCACTGTCCCTCTGTGACACGTCTGATGACTTAATCCTTCCCAGCAGCATATGTCTATGCCGTGCCTGCTCCAGTCCTGATCGCTGTGCAGGGATACAATATTGCTGTCAGAATGGATCTCACCGGTTTCTGGATCATGGATATTTCTGTTCATTCATGGTTCTGTGTAATGCCGGACACAGACTGTGTTCATTACCTGTTGGGTGACCGATAAGCATAAAGGAGAACTATGGGGTTAAGGCTTTCCCCCATACTTCTCCTTAGGGTAACGGGAGGACACAAACTAGCTACAGCTCGCGGTATACTAAGATGCCGCACTATACCGCAAGCTACAGCTCGCAGTATACTGAGACGCCGCAGCTGTTGCGGATCCCGACATTTATGTCGGGATCCGCCGAGCTGCGTGAGTGACAGCTGGCTCTGCCTATCTAGAGGCAGAGCCAGCTGTACCCGCCCCCTCCCCCGTCCGTTCCGCCAGTGAGAGCAAATGCTCAAAGAACGCATCTCTTTTTTTTTTTTAAGGTAGCATGCTGCAATGCACAGAATGTGTGTCCTAATGTGCCAAAGTATAACAGTGTATTGGGGTGCCATTCATAAAGATTTAGCATTTGTTACCACGCAGTGCGAATGGACCCTTAAAGAGACCCTGTTGACCTTAATTTTAACAAAGCTCTTTCTATAATATTATTTGAGCATTTAATGTATTGTATGCATGTTATATACCTATAAGCCTCCCTTGTGTAGACAGCCAAAAGCCCTGAGACTGCTGCTGGGTGCCGCTATCTGTTTAGCATGGATGGACTTTCAGATTAGATTTATCTTGTACTCTCCTTTAGATCTACCAATAACGATGTAGTGCAAGGGCCTGCCTGGTTGGATACAAATTGATTGGATAGACGTTGGTGGATGAATCCCCTGCTGTTTGCATTGTATTAACTGATTAGCTGCTAGCTCCGTTCGGTCCAAGAATTTTCCAACTGGCTCCTTAGATCAGCTGATCCAGGGATGCCGGGCGGAAGGGTACCAACAGCGGCACCCATGGTATGAATCACCAGGAACCGGCTGAAATTCAAACCGTCTGTACCCGACTTTAGGTATGGCACCATTTGGGG